TCGCAGGCTTTCAAAAAAAAAAAATGTAACCTTTTCTTTCCACCCACGCAAACGCGAGGCATGTAGTTCGGCGAATTTGTGTTGCTCTGCGGTGGCGGGTTTCAGGGCAGGGGCCCCTGGCAAAAGAAGGGCGTCGTGGGGAGGAGAAATGTCATGTTATGGGAGCCTGCGATAGGAATGGTCAAGCCTTACCCATTTCTTGTTAACAGGAGATCCTGGGATCCATCATCATTCTTGTATTCATACCTTGCCGTTGGAAAGTCGAAAAGCGCAAGTTTTTGAAGCGATAGGTAAGCCACAAGCGGAGACAATGTTATCCACCAACCCCCAGAAGGTCCTTATGGACGTGGAATGGATGACGAGCCTCTCGGCTCTCAGGACGTTCGTTGAACATTGCGGTCGGACTTCTTTTTCGTTCGAGAACAGAGCAAATTTTAGTACACAGGCCAATCGCGTCGAGGGCATACTCACACTCGAGAACGGGGAACTAACCATTTGTCTGGAGAATAATGCGAAAGCCAGTTTCGTTTCTAAGCGGCACTCCATGGTGTCGTTTAACATGCCAAAGAATGGGAATTTTCTCAAGGCTTTTGACAATGCACGGGCGACCTTCCGAACTGAGTGGATGGCACCGGAAGAAAGCAAGTCAATGCTGTATCAGCAGTATGAAATGGCCAGGGCACAACTGGCTGAGGAAAACTTAAAGATCCAGCAGGGCGCCCACGCTCAAACGGTAGGATCACACGAACGCATTAATCAACTGCAGCAACAGATTAACACGTTGGAATCGCAGAAAAACCAGCTGTGCGAGGAGAACAATCAGATGCAAGCCCATATCAACTAGATGCCGGCTTGGCGTGCCCAGGGGGAAGAACCTACGGGACTGCCGGTTCAGCCGGCTACGGCAGAGGGTGGCAACGACTTTAGACCACAGGCTTTTCACACCTCGGCACATACTGCCAAGATGGACGGGCATGCTGAACGGTCTTCTAATGCGTTGGGGGCCCAACCCCAGGCGGGGGCGCGAGGAATTCAAGAGCTAAGGAATAAGTTCGTGGAAAAGGGTTTGCGACCGGAAGAAAAATATCCGGACCTTCGAGGGCGCCTTGGAGTATTTATTGGAGACCTCCCCAGAACAGCCGCTGGCGGCTTATCGGGGTCTTTTTCCCTTACCCATGAAGCCTAGATTTGGCCTTGGCCAGGCGTGGGGCAATTTTGTGGCATGGACTGATGCTATCCGCCACGAGGGCATTTCGGCTGAAGAGGCGCAACTGGGCAGACGGCTGTATTATCAGCTTCGGGTGGCTCAGGCGGCGAAGGAAAGCCCCGGCGTGAATATCCAAACCCTTGCCAGTGCCATCGGGGATCCCAGAAAGGAGGACGCCCGATTTTTCAGGCGGTCCAGAAAGCGCAAAAACATTCCGCCCCTCCTAGCTATGCGCGCCGTTTTCGACGCGGCCGCGCAGGACGCTACAGCACAACTTGCTATGTGCAGGTGAAAAAGACTCCGTTTAAGCCAAAAAACGATTATCGGCCCCGGAAGCAATGAAATCCGGGGCCTGGAAAGCATT